CCCAGCAGCTTCTACTGAAGCCAGTCCCCAATTCTGGGGACTTCCAGCCGGGGACTTCGGGTGGCAGTATACGCCGTGAAGTTGTTTGCGGCCTGCCAGTAAACCCAAAGCAGAAGAAGAAGAAGTGACTTCAGCGGCTTCATTTGCCTAATCCTTCCCCAGGAACTTATTCCGGTGTGAATGCGATCTGTACTTAGTTAATGAGAACTAAAGAGTTCTCATGAACCTTTGTGGGAAAAGTACCGCGGTGTGAATGTGCCTAATGGTGCTCTAAGAAGAGAATCAGGTGATAAGGTGGGGGGGGGGGTTACCTTGGTTGGCGATTGGCTAAAGGTACGGACACACCAGCCCGATTATCGGCGTTGGTGGGCGTCAGGCCGACTATGACCGTCGACACGCCCTAATCGGGTTGGTGTGTCCCGCACCGTCAGGTCTTTTCAGCCGACCCGACGCCTTTTGGGCCGAAAGCTCCTGAAGCTTTCCCCTGCAGATATTTACAAACACATAACTGAGTTATCTACACGAGCAGCTGAACAAAACACTCATTAGCTACAAAACTACAGGTTATAGTTTACAAGATAGTTGATTACTTTAGTTGCTATGAAGCTACCAAGCAGTACATTTGGTTTTGTACTTACACTAGTATACATCTTTTAATGCATGACTTTTACTTCTAACAGAGTATTTCTAAACTGCGGTATTACTACTTTTACTGAAGTAAAATGTATAAGTACTTTGTCTACCACTGCTGAAGCATAATATACAATAATATACAAAGTGCTGCAATTTTAAATATAGCAACACCCTTAGCTTGCATATACCTGTTGCCAAAAATCGCAGCGTAACCCTCAGACGTTCCCTCAGACGTTCCCTCACGGAGATGCAATCCCGGTAATTTGTGTTTTCCCTCTGGATGATTGGAGTGATGAGTTCCTTCCACATGTGGAACTGAACTGGAAAAAGCCGAGCAAAATTTCTGAAATCTGGGATTTCATTGACCTCCAGCTCCCGACACAGGTTCAGGGAAAGCCCCATGAGCTTCTCGCTGTAGTATCCATGCTTTCACCCATTTAGTGCGGTTTCTCCTAATCATTCGCTTTCTCCGCTTCTTGATAATGTCTTCCACAAGCAACAATCCAAGGGCTGGTAGCACAAGTACCGCACGAAACATGTTTTCGATGGAGGAGAGTGAAAATGGAACGCACACGCCATTTGTTGTTTGTTTATATCCGAGTCTGTTCTTCTTCTCTCGGTTATCACGCAGTCTGTCTTCCGGTTGTTGCCTCTTTTGAATGACGAATACACACTACCGCCGCCTGCTAGTAAGGAGAGTTATTGCCACTCACGCATGCGCAGTTCGTATGTGCTGCTTGGACGTCGGCTGAAGTCTTTGCGGTGTGTTCCAGTGTGACACATGGCCAAAACGCAGGAGACGCGAGGCGACGTGACAGTCGGGGTCGATCTGTGTCAGTTCTTTGTCGTCAGATTGGTGTGTCCGGGCCTTAAGGGGTTAAACAAGACAAAACATCGTTATGACATCATAAAGTGGCAAAAATCTGACCAGCTCATTTTCAGACAGGTTTTATGTTGATGTAGAAGAGACATGAAAAAGAGGGGACACATGTTGATGTAGAAGAGACATGAAGAAGAGGGGACACATGTTGATGTAGAAGAGACATGAAGAAGAGGGGACACATGTTGATGTAGAANNNCAGATCATTGCAGCATCCCATAATCCCCTCTGTTTCAGCCCTGTTTCCAAAGTGCTGATTCTCAGAAGAGACATGAAGAAGAGGGGACACATGTTGATGTAGAAGAGACATGAAGAAGAGGGGACACATGTTGATGTAGAAGAGACATGAAGAAGAGGGGACACATGTTGATGTATAAAATACATGCATAATAGGTGACCTTTAAGGAACCCTCTCTTTGTGTGTTTTGTCAGGCATCAGGTCAAATTGTGGCTCACAGGATGGAGGATGTGAAAGCCAACAGCGTGCACATCGCCTGGCAGATCCCTCAGTACGTCCTCCTCACCATAGGAGAGGTCATGTTCTCCATCACTGGCCTGGAGTTCTCCTACTCTCAGGCTCCGGCCAACATGAAGTCTGTGCTGCAGGCTGGCTGGCTGCTCACCGTGGCGTTCGGAAACGTGATCGTGCTGATCGTGGCCGAGGGAGCGGGACTGGAGCAGGTAGGATGATATAGGAAATTGTGGGCAGGGTTACTTTAAAAATGTATACCATAATTTACTAGTTACATGTGAAAGAATATGTCAGTTTTGGGGTTTGGGCCATTTTGCTTCCATGACATGTCTTTTTTCACACTTTCACACAAAGAAAATACACATTTAGTTGTTACTTTATTACATGTGTATATTTGTGTTTGAGGATTTCTCCTAAAGTCACCAGAAGCAGCATTAGATTCTGCCTCATTTGTAAATGTAAGCATAATATTTGGGAAAATTACCATCTGGAAGAGTTGTAGTGTTTTCCAAAAATAACTTTTACAATAAATATCTCTAAAGGCCATTTTTCTGTTTCCTTTTTTTTGATACTGTCAACAGTATATTTGAGTTATGGAGTGATACAGAGTTATCCGCACTTCCCTCTTTAAAAACGTTTGATTTTTTGACTGAACAAGAATGTGTTGAACCTGGTTTTATCTATAAGATAATGATGTATGCAAACAAGCCGTAAGAAATACATTACAGAACATTTTAATACAAATAATCTTTGCCTTAATATAAGTGATCAACTTAGTACGTTTCATTGTGATATATATATATATATACATTCAAATATCTTCCCTGATTACCTGTAGTGTATCCCTTTTTTAAATTAAATGTTCCTAAAAGTTATTTGTTAATGCTGTGAGATTCTGATGACCAAGCAAGAGGTTATGACTCATATTTATAATCCCCATATTTCTCATAATATTATACACCTTTTTCTTATTTTATCTTATATAAAACACACATTTAAAGCGCATTACAGGCATTATGTTTTGCTCTCTCTCTCAGGTCACACACTAACCCTTATTTTTCTCTCAGTGGAAAGAGTTCCTGCTGTTTGCCGGGCTGCTGCTGGGCGTCTGCATCATCTTCTCCATCATGGCGAACTTCTACACCTACGTCGACCCCGACCAGCTGGACAAGACTCGCATGGAGGACTCAGGGAGGGAGGACGATGACGAGGACCACGTGAAGAAGAAGTCTAATGACGTAAAGCTGAACAAAAGAGGAAAGAGCACCAGATTGTAACGGTGCTGCTTTACAAACTCCAACTTTTATCTGTAGCTGATTTCAAAACGATGGATGATTTATGTGAACGTTTTTATCTGTTATATTTTTTTATTTTAAGTTACTTTTTTGTGTGGTAATGAAGATGTGATCAGTGGACATTTCTTGTGTTTAGAAGTAATGTATTTGTTTGTCACAACATATAAAATATTGTGTCAAATATTTTTTTTTAACATCCAGTCACTTAAAAATGTTTAACAGGAAAGTATTTTCATGAAATAGTGTTTTTAAGGAGAAGTCCTGTGTGATTTCCCGCACCGTGATCAATAGTGTTATTATAAATGAATGTCAAATATTATGTTTATATTTGTTGTGTATCGCTCCATGAAGCTCAATAATAATAATGTCCTTTAACAGAGGTTCAGTTTACATTGTGTGTTTGTAGCAATGATATTTAAAGGACCATTGCACCTGGTGGTTTTGCATGTTTAGAGGCCTTTCATTTCAAATGCAGTCAGTAACCTTAGTGTTGATGTGTCTCTTGCTGCCATAAAAGTCAGAAACAATCTTAAATCATGATTATGTTTAACTTTAATGCGTCAAAAATCATCATACATTTTCCTTTTGCCTCTATCACTGATTAGATTTTCTGAAACAAAGCTCATCAGTGCCAAATATGAGATGTGACAGCATCTTTTTAACACATTAAGGAAGTTCCTAGCTACTTGCACTAACACATTACTATATTTATCATTAAAAAAACATGCAAAACCAACAGTATTGTCCTTAGAAAGACAAAAAAACATGTGATATAGTTTTTGTTTTACTCTGGGAATTGTTAATTATGCTGCTCCCTATACAAATCTGTAAATATAATGTGATGCTCAAGCTTTCTTTGCCTTTTGAAATGTTAAAGATTAAAATGTGCATTGTACATTTGAATACAATTTTGTACTGCAAGAAATAACCTGCTCATATTATTTGTGTTTCACTGAATATTGCAAACACAATGCATTATCACTCTCGTACATATGCATCCTTTCTCTCTGAGATGTGAGACCTGTGTGTGTATTCAAAACATCCTTACACAGCTTTCATCAATCATAAAACCATTACGATCATCCTTCTGTCGCTGTTCAATGTCAATTTTCATTAGAAAGTGACAGGCAAACATTATGCAGAAAACAGATGTTCATATCTTGGTAATATTCAATCGAATGATGTGGTTTTATTAGCATACTAAATTGATTCAAGTGGCCATTGCTCTTGCTTTAGGAGAACCAATGCAAATGCTAAAACAGGATTAGTTTGTGCAGGACGACAACACCAGGAAGTGATCTGGCGTCCCTCTTCACATCACGATCAGTTTGTCTATGACATTTCACATCCGGAGGTTAATCTCAAGGACCTTGACAGATGAGAGGAGAATCACTCTCCCCTTCCTCCCTCTTCGCTCACCTTTTTTTCTCTCACACCAGAGCATTAGCTACCGGAAGCTTGGAGGATGACATTTTGCAGCCAGCCACAGATCTTTCCGTTTTTTCACAGCTTTCCACCCTGCAACTCCAGTGAGGCTTCCATAGAAGAAGAAAAAACAGCCTTATCATGAAATAGGCACATATAATACAAATAATAACAAAAAAATGTAGGGCACCTTTCAAAACACGAATAAATAAAATATTAGTGGCATTACAAAACTAAAATGTGTTGCGTAGGAAACCAGAGAGGAAAATTGCAGTCAAAGGAGCAATACAAGTAAGTAAAGCCGGTCTGAACAAATTAGTTTATTGGCTTGATTTGAAATAGCCCAGTGTCAGACTTTCTGACTATCATATATTTTATATCATTATTACTTGTCTTTTTTTTATTATTATTTTTATTCGTGGTTGTAAAGTATCAGACAATGAACAAGAAATAAGTTTTTATGTATAGCACTATACTGACAAATGGTATCTTATCCTTTCATTATCTGTTCTGTAGGAAGGAGGAATAACAACCGAGTAGGTACAGCGTCCGTGACGTCATTTTGGCCCAAAAAAGACTTTTCCCGTTGATTTACAGTGGGGCCGTCTGTATATCAGTGTAGGCTATCGTTTATTTTTAGCTAAAAAACTATCCAGCAAGAACAATTTTATAAACCTTATTTAAATCAGTAGGGTCGCAATATTCGCAATATTAGGGTCGCAATATTAGGGTCGCAATATTCGCATCGCGTCCGGTGTGAACGCAGCATTAGAGTGTAAAATGTTGTTAAAGCAACTCATCATCAAAGTGCCTGAAAAGACAAGATCAGGGGAAAAAACTTACAACGATTCTGATTGGCTCCCATCTTCTATCACATGACTCACAGCGCATGCGCTGATCTACTGGGCGGTTTTATGTTTGGGTTTGAAAGTTTATATAAACAGTCTATGGTTTGAAATCAGCTGTGTTTTTCACCGTTCATTTGAATGATCTAATTTCGTAGTGTGATCAAATATTGATACATTTTCGATATCTAATCACAAACATGTGTTGGAGGCGAAGTCTACGGCTGGTTTACGTTTGATAACGGTAAGTTTTTTCCGCATTTTCTACTTAGCTAATAGCTACTTAGCTGGGTTAGCATAGCATAAATATCATTCAAATCACATTCAAATAGCTAATGGCTTAGGGAAGACAGGAGGAGACGGTTGTGATGACACTCATACTTTAGGAGCTCAGTAAGAAAACTTAGATCTGCACCAAGAAAACAGCAGACACCTTTTACATGTGCTGCTGCATTTATTGAATAATGTAGTTTTGGAGGTATACAAGTATGTTATACGTGAAGTGTAATGTGTGATACTGTCCTCCTGACTGTTTGAATGAATTGATCCAAACTCACTTTGTTTAAATACTTAATGTGTTGACTTTTCAGTGAAATGAAAAGCATGTGTTAAAATGTGTGTAGCTAGAACATGGTGTTATGTCAAGGCTAGATAGACCATACATACAAAAAAAACAGAAACACAAGTTATTTTGCAGAGATTTAAAGGGTATTCAAACCAAACACAAATTGGTATTGCTTTTTTGAAGATGCAGAAGTGATAGTGAGGTAAATAATCAGGGTAGTTCACCCAAAACCCAAGGTCACAGTCAGAAAATCAGTTATAAAATAGTTGAAGGTTTGTACAATAAATAATGCTATTGTATAAATAAATAAAGCTAATATTATTGTAAAACAGGTACAATTTCTTTTCACTTTTTTTGAGACAAAAAGTGAAAATTAAATAGTGAAATATAGAGTATTTTAAATATGTTGCAATCGTCCCTCATGCAAATGTCCCCAGGTTGGCTCAGCCGCAACAAATTGACAATATATCATAATATATTTATCTTTAAATGCTATTGGTAATTAGCATAAGTTGGTCTACCAAATAGTCTCTGAGTAACTAAGAGAAATGCAAAAAGTGTTGCAACTCTCCCCTACTTAATCATACAAAAATCCACCATCAAACCAACATTATTAACATTACATGCTACTGTGTGCTGAACCATCATGAACATAAGCTAACATTTTTTTTGTCTTTCAGGTTATTTATTTCACTCGGACATCTGTACATTTGATATAGCTAGTGATGTTGCCTATGAGGACAATGGCCTCTTTAAAGCCGTCCAAGCTGACTTCAGCTACTGTTACGGCATCAAAGATCAAACACAAGATCCTCAGTGAGTCTGTCTTTCATTTTATACACATTAACATTTGTGTACTACAAGTTTTATATCATTTTTTTCGAAGGAAGTAAATATTTAGAATTAATATGTTGATGCTTCGTCCCCAGACTCCTCCTCCTTCTTCAAGATCTCTTTGAAGACCAACAACAAGGCCTTAGCTGTTGCTTTGGAGGTCCAGAAGGAGAGGAGCCGGGAGCTGGAGATGTACGTTATGCACTATCAGAAACAGGTGGAGGCACTCTGCTTCGAGCTGGCCACCAAGAAATACAAGCAAAGGAAACTGGTTGGTTTAATTGCCTTAAATAAATATCAAAATCAAGGCCTTTTGGGCAGGTGGCAATAACTTCTTACCATACAATTAGTCATAATAATGCACCGACTATCTCCTAAGTGTTCTGTTTGATATGACGATTGATTATATGGACTGCGATTCATCTTGGTTTTTGTCTCCCAGCTCCTCATCTTGGACACCCTCCGTAGCAACACTCTGGAGCACTTGGACATGGTGGATGAGCTGTTCTCTGATGGCGTAAGGATTCCTCTGAATAAGTTTAATAAAACATCTGTGTTGTCTGCCAGTGATGAGTACAATATTTATCTCCTATAACTATGGCAGGCACAACACAAGTTTTTTTGCAGTGTGTTGTTTTAAACCAACTGGATATCTTTTTAGTTAGGCACAGACATGGCGCTTGATTTTCCTTTTGCTTATTTTCATTGGTTATATTTTGGCATGGATTTTTAAAGTCAAACTGCTATCTAACATAATTCTTACAATGATAAGATTGAACTTTAGACTTGATAATCCCTGTAAATGTCAAACTTTACCACTCAAAGTCTTTGATTGTTACTGTATTTTAGGATAAAGTTCCTGAGGACAACAAGACCTTATCTTGTGGCATCAACAACGAGAATCTTTTTGTGGAAAGGTGATCAAATGCAGTATTCAGATTAGTAAATACTTTGAAATAAATGTATTTTTAAGTTGGCTTTGAATGACATCTGCTATTTCTTTCTCTTTATCTCGCTCTCCACCCCCCTAACCCCAATTTTTAGTCCAACAGATGAGCAGCCATCTCACCCAGAAATGGCACAGCCTATGTTGTGTCCCTTCCAAAAAGAACCAGCAGATTTACCCGAAAAGAAACCCATTTCAAACGTCGCTAATATCCTGAACAGACCAATAAAGTCCACAGATACTTTCAATGGTACGGAGTTTAAGATTTTGTGTTGTTTCTGATTTCAAATCACCATTTAATGCCCTAATATACTGATGAAAATTCCCTGGAAATAAGTAATTTATACATTTTTCATAACTTCTTTTCCATAGATATAAGAGATACAGAGAAAAGGCATTCAAGCCAGCTTCTACAGATTCCCCAGAGAGGAAAATCCCGTCCGTCCAGCAGCCTGACGGAAGGAGTAGAGAGGCTGTCAATCAGGTTCTCACAACCTGGAATGAATATGAAGTCAATCCCCTGTTTACAAAAAACCCAACCCCCCTCAGCTGTAAGCACATGTGAAAAACCCAACCCATCTCTTCCTGATGACGTTCCCCTTGAACAAGATTCCAAACAAGAGAAGACTGTGCTTCTGAATACATCAATGGAAATGACAGTGAGTGATTCTGCAGAGATAGTCGTTGTGGAAACCAAGGCTAAGAGAAAAGCCCGCTCTGAAAAGCCAAAAGCCAAGAAGGATAAGGAACAAGCCTTTGTGTCAAGTGTGGCAGAAAATCCAAAAGTGAAGATCTCAGCAGATTTGAAGCGGAGTGAAGTTCAGAGTTCTCCCACTGGGACTTTGTTACAGACAGAAGGCCCTGCACTACATGATGTAATAGAACCTGATAATATTGAGCTACCGTTACCCAAAACACTGGGTGGGAGTGGCAATACCTCGCGCATTCCCAGACCGAACACGTTTGGACCTGGAAACCATAAGAAAATGGTAAAGAACAAACAGAAATCCCATGACCCTGAGTCAAAAACAGATTCAAATGGAATTGGCGTATTGGATCTGGATGATTATTTCACAGATCCTGATTTTGAAAACTCAAAAGTCTGCAAAATTGTACCAGTAAAGGAAACAGCTGAAATAGAAAGAAGGTCCAGAGTCACATGCAGGAGGTCTAGGGTTAAAAGCAGGAGCGGCTCCTCGGCCAAAAGGAAAACATTTGTGGCTTTTCCTCTGCTACCGTGTGAAAGTGAGAGCGAGAGCAATCAGTCCACATTGCAACAGGCTCACATAGAAGTTGAAGAAGAACGTCACGGAAAATATGAAGCATGCAACGAGCAAGAACCACCTGAGGAGTTCCCGTTTTGTGCAGATGAAGTCACCCGATCAGAGTTCTCTGAACCGCAGTGCAAAATGAGGAGAATAACCCAGCGAGCGAAATGCAGGGGGACATTCGTTGTCTCAGTGGCCAGGGAAAGCATCTTCTCTATCGGAGCGTCACCAGAAGTCAGTGCCCTAGAGCAGGACTTAATGCCTTCTACTGAAACCTCCACTTGTGGGACGGAAGAACCGGCAACAGTCATGGATGCCTGCGTTGGTCTAAATCATTCAGAATCAAACCAGCACAGCGAAGGAGACCTTATCAAGGAAACGCCAAGCTCCTGTAAGCATCCATGGCGGGCCACTATGGACAGAGAAGCCCTTCAAGAGGATTTCAGTTGCAATGATGACCTCGAGGTACTGGCGCTGGACCAAGAGCCTTCTTCAGCATCAGAGGTTCAGATATCTAAAAAAGCCAGGAGAGAGGGAAAGAGTAAATCTACTAAGAAGAAAGTTCAAAGGGGAAAGCGTGTAGATAATTTAAGTAACAGAAAGAAGAAAGACAAAAGAATTAGCTTCCAAAATGAAGTGTGTTATCTTGGGGACGGCGGGGATGCCTCACATCATCGTGGCGTTGAAAAAGTAGAACGTCATGGAAAATATGAAGCATGCAACGAGCAAGAACCACCTGAGGAGTTCCCGTTTTGTGCAGATGAAGTCGCCCGATCAGAGTTCTCTGAACCGCAGTGCGAAATAAAGAGAATAACTCAGCGAGCGAAATGCAGAGGGACATTCATGGTCTCAGTGGCCAGGGAATGCATCGTCTCTATCGGAGCGTCACCAGAAGTCAGTGCCCTAGAGCAGGACTTAATGCCTTCTACTGAAACCTCCCCTTGTGGGACGGAAGAACCGGCAACTGTCATGGATGCCTCACCTCACCGTGGCGATGGCGTTCCTGAGAGAAATGAGGAACAACTAGACGATTTACAAATGGCAGACTTGCATCCTCACATAAATGAGGACGATGAAAGCTTTGGCGATTTATTTGATTCAAAGTCCGGGATGGCAAAGACTCCTAACTGGTGTAGAAGGACATCCACGGCAGCACAGACATCCACAGGAGGCAGAAAGCCAATGGAGACATTGGTCGTCTACAGGCGGAAAACTCAAGACATTGTTACATTAAAGAACAAGAGGACCACTCATGTGTTAAACAATCTGGACACCAGGGAGGAGGCGGTTCGTCAGGATGTGGGAAACCTGCTGATGGACGAGATGCCGCCATGGATGGGTGTAAATGTCCTTGATGACACCAAGATCGACTCTTTACTGGCTACTCCCAGGAGGAAGACATCTGTCCGAGCGGCCAAAGAGTCCCCTGCCGTCACAGCTAAACCCTCACCAGGTAACCATTGTTTTCTCTCTTTGTTGTGTGCTCAAATTGTTTTTATCTAGTGTAGTAAAGAAGTTAAATGAAATTGATTGGTCGCACAATTGCAACCTGTTCAACATCAACACCGTTATGGATGTAAAGATGTATTGAGTGTTAGCGATTGCGAGAACATGGTTATTAGCAGGGCTCAACGCTAACTTTTAAAAGTGGCTGCCAGGCTGGCAACCAGGCATCAGCTTTTGGTTGCCAAAACTGAAAATACGGTTGCCATTTTTAGTCACTTTATATTTTAAATAATTAAGATGCTATACAGTTATACATCAACTTAATAATGAAAATGTGACACAAAAAGATTGTTCAAATGCTTTACAATAAGTAATTAACACAATTATTTGAAATCTAAGTGGTAGTAAACGTGTCCACCCTCAATTGCTGGTATATAAAATACCAGTAGTGCAGCTGCTGTCATGTTCTTCACAGATCCCTCACAAATGAATTGAGCAAGTCACTAGTTTCTTGGTCATCCGTTGTCTCCCTTTCAAATGTGGGTTCTCTTGACCTTTGTGCTGACCCCCACCATAGATCCACTGGCCCTTCAGCATTGAAGTCTTGGATTGGCCAGACTAATACATTTCTAATGTTAAATAAATGAAAACCATTCACAGTTAAGAATGAGATATTAATTATTAATGCTGTAAATTACCTTTTTAATATGTCTAACTACATTTAAAATGTGTTACCTTTTTATAGAAGTGATTATATTTATATGCCAATATTTTCTTATGGTAAAGTTTCGTTTAGCAGAATGTACATATATATTTCGCCTACCAAGACTTTTACACATTTCCTCTTTTGCTTTCGTTCGGGTTCATCTTGCGCTTTATCAGTTGAATCACTTTGAACATTCGTTTGTAGATGTTGACGGGTTGGCTGAACTTTTTACCGCACAGTCAAACAACTTAATTTGCTTCGCCATTGTTTGTAAACAAACACACAGCGCACCGCCCACGCAAGTAAACGTGCATCGCTTTCTGGCTCCGTAATCACACCAATGCACGTGCAACGTGTATCAGGTTCCGCCAGGGTGAGGGGTTTAAGTTTGTACAAAGTATGTTATGACTTATGTAAACTTCGGTAAAACCTGTAGAATGGATACAGTTATTCAAAGACAAAAACGTCACATCAAACAGAAAGACCATCTCTAAAAGTAATAAGAACTGAATTTACCAGCGTGATTTAGAAGGACCGTCGGTTTAACAATCTTGGCCGGGACCATGATCGAGTTCTGCGCGAAGAACACGATGTCGATACTTTGTTTACCGCCCCGCGTGTAAGCGTGCGGTGATTTTTAAGGTGGTGCGAGACGCGAGTGTAATACGACCCGGGTCGCACGGAATCGTGTCGACGATACTGAGCGTAGGATCCCCTTTTGTGACTGTTGTTAATGACGCATCTTATTGTTTTACTTTACGACTTATCTGGTTTAATGTGCACAATTTTTTAACTATAATTCAAACATGACATAAGGTGGAAAATTATACATATTACCGGATGTAAGTCTTAAAGGGTAAACTCGCACTTATTTCAAGTAGGTAGATAATGATATTGGTCCCGAGCTGTCATTGCAACGGTCAACGTCGTAACCGGTTGGTAAGTCTTTTTCGTTGTGAAGAACCGGAACCAACGGTTACGGTAGTCACCTGTTGGGCAAAATTGTAATTTCTTTAGTTCCTGTCGTTGTCGTTTTACACGTGGAGGTTTTATTATTTACATTGATAACAACATAATTCTCACTCCATAAATTAATAACACCA